CCTGGTCTCATGAATGTCTGAAAATACCTCCTCTACCTCAACTCCATGCCCCTCATCCTGACACCATGATGCCACTGAATGCAACCACGAGGTTGCTAGGCCACCGGACACAACTGTCCTCTGCTGGTGACCATCATGCCTAACTCAGCCTCCAAGATGCACCGTCTCCTGATTTTCCTTCTATTTGAAACATCGCACTGGCACAATTTGGGTAGACAAGGAGCCAGCAAAAGAGTTGGAAATCGTGTGACCGATGACATGGGAAAAGCCAAGAGAGAGCGATGTCATAGAAGCCGGGAGAACAAAGGAGAAGTCCATGAATGCTGTGAAGAGGGTCAAGTGGGATAAAAACAGTGAGATGGCATTGGATTGGCAATATGGAGGGCAAAAAATCTTGGACAAGAATGGTCTCAGCATGGCAGTGGAGATGGAGGCCTGTCTGGAGGGCCTGAGGGGGAATGGGTCACGAGAAAGTGGAGAGAGGATGACCCTAGACAGCTCTTCGGAAGAACAGAGAAGTGGGTCCTGGTGAGAAAAGAAAATAAGGCCGAGGGAGGTTTTTGTTTTTGTCTTTTTAAGATAAAGATGCTAGAGAATATCTGCATCCGGCTGGAACTGATACTATGAGAGAGAGTGAACAGGGAGGGAGAATATAAACGCAAGAGAAAGAAGAGGATGCTTCCAGGAGCAACATCCTCGAGAGGACAGAAGAGGAAAACAGAGATAATGCATCCATTTTAACAAGCGGCAAGGCAGAGAGCAGAGGTACAAATGCAGGGAGATTTGGAATTTGGTGTCTGGATGCAATTTGTTCCCACCCGATTGCTTCAATTTTCTCCCTTAAGTATGAGCAAGGTCGTCAGCTGAGAATGAACACAGGGGAAGAAACTGGGTTTTGAGAACAGAGAAGATGCATGAAATCATCACTGTAGAGTGAGAAAAAGAACATCGCAGGAAGAGCAGGAAGCTGTGCAGTGCTGCTGACTGTCCATTCGAGATCTGTGGTCCAGAATTTAAAACGAGGCTGGCTAAGGAAAATAACAAGGTCGCATGTCAAGCACTTAGCCCTGACCTGGTACACAGTGCACACTCAGTAAACGCAAGCTATTACTATTGTGCCACATGAATATTTCTTTGTTTGCTTAGATGAGATCTAATCCTGTCAAAAAAGAAATGAAATCTTGGGTGAGATTGTTTTATCAGCATTGTAAATCCATTAAATACAATGTTCGCGAGAAAGGCATATGATTAAATTTGTGTTGAAAACGTAGACCCTGTGGCCTAAGCAGCTGACAAAACATGAGGATGACGTCAATAAGATCTTATGAGGACACGGTGCCACAGGTTTGCATGTCAATGTGGCTGTCCCCAGAGCTTCGTGCAGCCCTGTAGTGTAAGGGCATGGTTGGTCTGGGATTCCATACCCAGGTGGGGAGACGATAATATGGGTATAAGTGAGTAACAGAATCGATTGAGTAGCCCTTATATTAAAGTGAGCTAAGAAAAGAATTCAGGGAAGCTATTATTACACTGAAGATATCAGCATAAAAACTTGAACTTGGAAAGGTCACTCATCTCTCCTTGAAATAAGAAGCAACCACCTCCCGTGTCATCCCACTTCCCAAAATTGCATGAGATAAAATAAGATGCAGCTTCAACTTCCACACGGTAGTCCTCGGCCTTCCTCTTGTTAGGGGGAAAAAAAAGAGATAGTACCCTTGGAGAACAGAATCAAGTGATTGATTAAAATCATTTTTTTTTTCATTTTGTTGAAATGACCATACAGCTGTGTCCTTTAATGTCAATGTATTGGAGAATGGGGGGAAGGGGGGTCAGTCTCTTCAACCTGGTAGTACGTCATGTCTGTAACCAGACGTTAAAGCCTTAATGAAACGATACTGTGCAGTTTTCCAAATGGGTATCATCAGTATCCCTTTTCCGAGGGCTTTTTTCGAAGGTAGCTGACTTAAGACTTGGATGTCTGCCTTTCTTTTCTGTGCTGTCAAGAGGGCTCATCTCTTCCATCTGAAACATGCAAGCTCTCCACCCTTCTACTCCAGTGTCACCAAGTCTCCACTCCACTTCCCAGCACCCCAAGGAACCTCCAACCTTACTGACTAAAAGGCAACTCCCAGGAGTGGTCTCGGTTGTATTTGTGTTGCTAAAGCCTGTCATTTTGATGTGTTAATGGCTTGGGGTGTGGAGGGTTCCTCAGCCCCTGGCTGGTGAACAATTCTGTTTCTGCGAAATGGCAAATCCTATCTTTAAATCCTTATATATCAAATTCTAAATCTTTTACTACAATTATAACATACTTATGATCAATTATCCTAGCATTTCTGGGTTAATATTCTTATGATATAATGCTGACCTGATATGCTAATGTTTAATATACTGATAGTGAATAAGACTCATTTTTACTTTTTTTCTTACGTTTTATTGCAATATAATTCATATTATCATACAATTCATCCATTTAAAGTATAGAATTCAATGACTTTTATAGATTTCTGTAACCATCCTCATAATCAATTTTAGAACATTTTCATCACCCAAAAAAGAAACCACATACTCATTAGCATAACTACCCACTTCTCCTCAAATACACCCCCAACCCTAGGAAACCGCTAACCTGCTTTCTGTCTCTACAGATTGGTTAGTTCTGGACAATTGACAAAAATGGAATCATACAATATGTGGTCTTTTGTGCCTGGCTTCTTTCACTTAGCACGTTTTCAAAGTTCATCCACGTTATAGCACATGTCATTCATTTTATAGCTAAATAATATTCCATGGTATGGATCCATCAAAATGTATATTCATTCATCAGCTGATGGACATTTGGGTGGTTTCTGCTTTTTGGTTATTATGAATAATGCTGTCATGAACATTCCTGTACAAATTTTTGTGAGCATATAGGTTTTCAAATACTTTAGAGGGGAATAGGTGGGTCACATAATGCACCTGTTTAACCTTTTGAGGCACTGCCAGACTGTTTTCTAATAGGGTTTCAGCATTTTACATTCCTACAGCAGTGTATCAAAGTTCCCATTTCTCATCAATACTTATTGTTTTTGATGATAGCCATCCTAGGTGGACGTAAAGTGGCATCTCATTTTGGTTTTCATTTGTGTCTCCCTGATGGCTAATGATGTTGAGCATCTTTTCACGTGCTCATTGGCCATTTGTTTATCTTCTTTGGAAAAATATCTATTCAAATCCTTTCCCATTTTTTAATTGTGTTTTTTATTATTGAGTTATGAGTTCTTTACGTATTCTGGACCCAACTCTCTTACCAGAAAATTTGCAAATTTTTCTCATTCTGTGGGTTGTTTCTCTTTCTTGATGGTGTTCTTTCAAATACAAAAGTTTTTAAATTTGATGAAGTCCAATTTATTGATTTTTTGTTATTTGTGCTTTTGGTGTCATATCTAAGAAGCCATTGTCTAATCTGAGGCCACAAAGATTCACACCTGTGTCAGGTATTGGTACTGCATTGGGTATTGTGTTGAATCTGTAGATCAGTTTGGGGAACATCACCATCTTAAGTCTTCTGATCTATGAACATGAGATGTCTTTCCATTTATTTAATTTCTTTCAGGAATGTTATATAAAGAGTATAAGTTTTACACTGATTTTGTTAAATTTGTTATTTTATTATTTTTGATGCTATTTTAAACTATTTCTTTTATATCATCTTTGCTTTTATAAGTTGGGAAGCTTTCCTTCTTTTATTATGCTTTGGAACATTTTATATAACATGGGATTTTTTATGTAAAACTATTTAGGCTAGGTTCCTTTTTTAGGAAAAGATATTTTCCTACCTTCTATCTTCTTGTAAATCAATTATAGAAACTTATGAAAATCATACTTTGAATCCAGATTTTCAAATTGATTCCTATTCTCCTAATTATTTTAAAAGTCCTCTGTATCTAGTTATGTCTCTTCCTGATTATCAAGGTTATCTTTTTGAGCCTTCTCCCTTTCTCTTGATCACAACTGCCACAGGTTCATCCATTTTAAGTCTTTTAAAAGAACAAAATTTGGTTTCTTATTAATAATTTATATTGATCATTATTCTTGTTTTTCCTAACTTATTAACTTTTGCTTTTCTGTTTATTTTTTCCCCATATTTTGGGACTTTTTTTTTTTCCTAGCTTTTGAGTTCAAAAATAGTCCATTTATTTTCCATATTTTCTCATAAGTACAAGTAATGCTACACATTTCCCCCCTGATGCTGCTTTGGCTACATTCCCTATATTTGGATATATACTGCTTTCTTTCTAAAACTAATTTCTTAATAATTTATAATTCAATTTTGATTTCCTATCTAATCAAGAATTAGATGAATATACTTTTTAAAAATTCCAAATAGTTTGTTTTAGTTAACTTATTTGTTAATAACTAATTTATTGAATATTGGTCAGAGAATATACCCTATAGATTCCTACATTTTAAGTTTTGTGTTCTTCTTTAAGAAATAGCACATAATAGGATTTTTGTAAACCTGTCATAAGTGTTTCAACAAATAACTGGTATGCTTTGCATTGGGTATAAAGTTTTACATAGGTCTATTGGGCCAAGTGAGTTCATTGTATTACTAAAAATACTTCTATCTTTACTTAATTTATGTTTACTTGTCTATTTCTGAAACAGATGCATTACTATATCTCATTCTGACCGCAAATTTGTCCATTCCTCCATATTTTTATGTGCATTTTGTGGAGTCGTTAAGAAAAAAGTTTATAACTCATTTTCTTGGTTTAATATAACTATGATCTACATGAACTATTCTTTATCTGGTTTAATATGATTCTCAATTCATTTTTTTCTGATAATATTGTTCAATCCTATTTTCCAATTAGCAGTTACATGCAATAACTTTTTCAATCTGTCATTTGACCTTAAATGTGTCATAAATAGCATCTAGATGAACCATTTTTAGTTTGAAACCAAAGAGGTTGCCTTTTAATAGAAAAATATGATTCACACTTCTATGATTACTGAATTATGTACTTTTTACTTCTTTATTATGATTTAATGTTTTTAAATTACTATATGATTTCTTGTTACTCTTTTATCCCTCTTCCCTTTAGTTGGGTTGAAACATGCATGGAATTTCTATTCTTCTAGGAATTACCCATAGAATTTTTCACCCTCATTACATATCAATATAATTTAGACATAATCGCAATTTTTACTGATTTCTTCATGCCTGTCTTTCATCTTACATCTTTCTCCTCGGGTTTTTAATATTTCTGGAGTATGTCATCAATACTGTGAGAGTAAACTTTCGGAGTCCGTGAATGTTTTGTAAATGCTTGTATTCTGCCTTCCATCTTGCATACTATTTTGCATAAATATAAAATTTCAGATTAAAAATCTTGCACCTTGTTTTGTCTACATATAGAATTTCAGGTTCAAATATCAGAATTTTGAAGATGTCCCATGATCCTCAGGAATCCAGTGGAGCCAGTGTTTAAGCCTGCAGTTTCCTCTATCAATTAGTTTACATCTGTCCTTTCCTTCAGGAGGAAGGAAATACCTGATCCACTGATGGCACATCTTTTTGTCCGAGGCTGAATTTATTCTTCCAAAAAATGTATCTTTTCTGATATTGTTAGGGACTTTTTGATAATGAAGATGCTGAGTTAATCATCTTCAGCCAGTGACTATTCTCTGCTCTCTAAAGACAGTGTAACCTTTTATAACCAGTTACATTAGTGACCTATCATTCAAGTTGCCACTGTAATTAAGTAGGTTTCTGGGGACATGATTTTACTTTTGACGTATGTAAATATTCTTAATAATAAGTTCTGCTGTAACCAAACTCTACTATGCTCAATGATAAAGGAATTAAGTCCTTATCATATATGTAATGTTTCAAACATTTTATTTGTATCACACATTGGTATTATAATAATCAAGTACTCATGATATAAGCTGAGATTTTTACAGACTTTTTCTAACTGACCTGAACATCAGGATGTCCAAAGGGTCTAGAAACATAGTATTTACTGCACTTTTTCAAAATAAAATAAAAAAAATTGGACCTATCGTTTTAAATTTAGAGGTATTTCACCTGGAAAGTATTCTTACCATCATATATGCAAGTTGCAAAGGGCTTATTTTAGAGTGCACGCCCAGGAGAAGAAAAAGCTGCCTGCACTTTTATATTGAAGGCCTTAAGCCTTGAGGCAAAATTTCCATTAGCCTCATGCATCTAGCACAGCTCACTAGATTTTAGGGTTTGGAGAAAAAGCCTAGAACTTTCCTCCTACTTATTGTCCCCTCATCAACCACTATGGAATAAGGAGCATCAATTTGGGTCCTTTGAGAAGCAGACATTCAAATGGGATTAGATGTACAAGACATTAATTGGGGAAAACACCTGTGAGGAAAGAGGAAGGAGCCAGAGGAGGTGACCCTGTGAAGGAGAAAGAAGGGCTGAATAAGAAGAGTCTTATCTACAGCATAAGTCTAAGAAAGTTCAGCCAGGCCAATGGAGAGTTCTTGAGGAGAGCCGCCCATCACAGGGCTACATTAGGATCTTGGCTGCACTCAGTTATTGGCTGAGAGCAGCCAATGGGAAGTGTGGCATCACCAATGCTGAATTCAGAGTACAGCAGCTGGGGCTGTTGGTCAATTACGCTCACTGAAGCAGGAAATCTGAGTGGGACATTATCACATGCCCGCCACGACAGGCAACCTATGGATGGCTGAGGACCAAATCTGAAAGCATGTCTTCATGACTTGCAGATATAAGAAACAGTTGCATAAAACCCACCATTGTCCTCATGGTAGGCAGGCTGCTAGGATGCTGTCCAATACATCACAGTGTCCCCTTTATGAGGGCCCAAGAAAATCATCTCCTGTGGTTCAGGGCCAGGCAAAGTCATTCCTCCTGCGCAACTGGTATGTTCTCATCCCGTAGACAGAGGGATTTTCTAGTAGACTTTTTCTTTGTCATAACCATTGAGAAAGTAAGAGCCAGATTTGGGGTCTATCTCTAGCTCTGGGGGCTTTTATTTTTCAACTATTCTACTTTTTTTTTTTTATAAATCTTCCCTGATTCCTTTAGTCAATACTACTGTTCTCTGCAAGTGATCTAAACTCCTTCTGAAATAAGGCAGGAAATCATCACCTTAAACTAGGCTGGTACCATTTAGAACTAAAAATACTAGGTTTTAAATACTTTAATTTATTCCTTTTATAACTTTATATATAGGTCAAATCCTCTCACTTTTAAGCCAGTGCTAATAAAAATAGTACGAGGGCCACGAAATAGTCTAGGAGCAACATTTTAAAAAGTAAAAAGAAAGAGGTGAAATTGAGACAACTTAAATCTTTGAAAGGTCAGTGTGTTCTTTAAACTTGGAGAATATAGCAATGAGGACCAGAAACACTGTAAGCACTCAATGGCCACATTGTGGCTAGTAGTTTCTCGTATTGGACAGTGCAAGTCTAACGAAGTCTATGAATGACCAGAGAGCCAGGAGAGTTTTTAAGATAATAATCACAATTGCATCTGACTTGTATTCATAATTGGCTTTGATTGAAGATGTATGAGCTCCTGGGGGTTTCTGATGTAAATAACAGGTCTAAGAAAGGATGAGTTCTCCTGACAGGGATAATGACCATGAAAACCCTAAGGTTTCTGGATTTTTAAAAAAAACTTCTGTTTCTTTGGCTCCTTCTAAGAAACAATGTAATATAAAATGGTTTTGGACATCTAGGAAGAAAGAAAACAGAAACAGATGAATTTTGTTTATTCTATACTTCATCTAGAAAGATATTAAAAATTAAAATGTGCTTATAAAAGTATAAGACCAAAAAACAAAAACCGTTGTAGCTGTAATCAAAAAATTTTGATTCTCTGTTTCATAACCAGCTCTAAAACTTTATACCTTAGTTTGGATAATAAACATATTATTCATTTAAATCAGGACTAGAAGACCAAAAACATAGTTAGATTTCTGGGAGTTAAGAATCTGATTTTTTTTAGGCAAATTATATAACCTTTGAAAGCCTCCATTTCTACATCTGCTAAACAGAATAATAACTACATCATAGAATGGCTATGAAGATTAATAATATTGCGAGAAGTCTTACAACAGGCAAAAAGTAAGCACTCAATAAATAATACCTATTATCGTTAATCATGAAAGATTATTAAATCCAGATATTCTTAACCTGGGGTCTGCAGATCTTTGGTCCATGGATAAATTGCAGGGTCGGGGGTGGGGGTAGGAGAAGATTCCTAAAATTGGATGAGAAAAAAGATTATACCTACATCTAATATCTAAGCACAGTTTAGCATTTCCTCCATTATGAACACTGGCAACATCACAATAATATTTTAGAAGGACCTGTCACTTTGCACGAATAGAAGTCACAGATATTTTCATATTACATTTCTGATGTTTCAGACATCTCGAAATATCTTTTAGCTAGCACCTTTTGAAATTCTAATAGTTAGACTTGCTGCTAGACCTTGTTAATTAATGCGTTAGTAAAGAAACAATACTATGCTACCAATGTGTTGCTTTTCATTTCAATACAATTTCAATTCAGTACAATTTCCTTTGTAACCTTAAATGTTTTATTTCATGCACTTAAAGCATATTCTTAGAAGGGGTCTATAGGCTTCGCAAGACTGCCATGGCATAAAAAAAAAAAAAAAAGGTTAAGAATCCCTAAATTTTAGTCTATCCCTTTGCTTCCAGAAAGCCAACCAAGTGGGACTGCCTAGGTAAGCCAGAGTCTTAGGTTTATTTTCCTGTGCGTAGCTTGATAGGAAGGCATTACAGTTCTGGTACCCGACTCTACATCAATTAACCTATTTGGTGAGCACATCTTCGATTTATATCTGGCACCTGTCCTGTTCGAGGTTCTGTGTCCAAGTTGACAGGCTGTTTTTCTGGTATATTCAGTTGACACATACCTGACACCCACTAGATGCCAGGCCCCAGGTGAAGGTGAGCAGTGGTTCTGAAGCGTGGTCCCAGACCATCAGCATCAGACTTACCTGGGAGCTTACTAGATTTGCAAATTCTGAGGTCACGCCCCAGACCTGCTTAAAAAGAAACTGCGAGTCTGTCAATCTGTGTTTATCAAGCCTTCCGGGAGATGGACGCTAGAGTTTGAAAACCGCCGCGCTAGGGAATCGGAAGGGGGCCCAACCTGGGGGGTAGGTAGGCTCCCACCTCGAACCTTGGTGGGGACTAACACGGCTCCTGCAACGCGGTGCAGGGGGTCCTGGAATTTCGATGCAGGAGGTGCTGAGAGGCGACCGTGAAGTCGAAAGCTGGGCTTGTTGAACTCCTACATCCCGATTTTACTTACATTACCCGGGGCCTCGAGGTTGACTGATGGAGATCATCTCCCAGCACCAACCCCTCGGCGACGCCACTGTAGGGCGAGATAAGGGGAATCAGGGGAGAGCATGCGAGACCACGGGGAAGACAGCCCAAGACCTGCGGGATCTGCCCCGAGCGACCCGCACCCACCTGGACCGTTCCCAGTCCTGCTGGTCGGCACTGGACCGCAAACTTCCTGCTGGGAATTGCGGTCCCGAAAGCCCGCCGGCCCCCAGGCTTTCCCAGAGCTGTCGGCTCCAGGAAACTACAAGTCCCAGGATGCCCGGCGCGGGTGGTCACGTGGGAGGGGGCGGCGGGCGCGGCTAAATAGTCTCCATCGGCCATTTTGTAGGAGAAGCCGCAGCGCCGCCTCTTCTCTCGCGTCCTCGCCTCCGTCGCCGCCGCCTCTTCCTCCGCCTCCTCCTTCGCCTCTTCCTGCCTCCTCCCGGCTTCCGCCGCCGCTGTCGCTCCAGCCGAATCCCAGCCCCGGGGCGAAGCATCTCCTTATTTATTTCCGTTTTCTCGCCACTGCAGCCTCCTGACACGGTGATCCGGGCGGGCCCCGCAGGAATTTTATCCCTTCACCGGCCTCACACTAGTATCGCATGTCCACTATCCAGAACCTCCAATCTTTCGGTAAGACCGGGTCGCCGCCGCCGTCCCCTCCCTGCCCCCGCGCGCCGCTCCGACCGGCCGGCTGCCCCTGCCCGCCCTCGCCGGCACCGCTCGCCCTGACCACCGCTCCGAGGGGGCCCCCCCTCTGCCCTCGCGGCACCCCGAGTGGGGCTTTGTCTCGGCTCACAGAAAATGGCGACTGGGCCCCTGGCGACCCCCTCCCCGAAGACGGCCGGCAGCCCCCGGCCCCTCCTCTCCGAGCCCCGACCGTGGTCCCTGTGCCGCCCCCTGCCCGGTCCTTGACCCGGCTGCCGCCCGCCTCCCGCCCATGACATCTCTGCGACCCCGTTACGCCGCCCCTAGACCTGCCCTGCTGCTCGCAGGGGCGATGCCGGGCCACGGGCTTGGGGAGCGGCATCCACTAGTGGCCGGCGCTGTTTCTGAGCAGCTCTTGAGGGCGTTTAGTAGGAGATGCGGATGCGGACCTGTGATCTGTCACCGGGCAGTGGTCCAGTTTTCTCTACTTGCGTAGTGATTTGTAAAAATTACGCTTCTTGATATATATGTGTGTATGTACAGACCCATATATACGTATATATATATATATTTTTAACTTTTTGCATGGCACCGTTACGGTGAAATAATTGGGGTGGATGTGTTTGAATGTTTGTTGTCATCAGAAGGTAATCGAGATGACGCACATTTTTATAGTGGCTATAAAATGAAGGTTTTAAAATGCCTTTTCTCATTAGAGGACTACATTCAACAGTAACATTATTTACCTATAACAAAAATTGTCTATTCAGATATCAATGGACATACCTAGTCAAGTAGTTCTCTTTTTGTGAGAGTACTTGGAGGTTTTATTAATGCCCCACCCCCATCACTCCCCATCCTGACCTGCAAAAAAAGCAGAGGCACTAGAACCTTCTTTGTGACTGTCCAGTGTAGTGTACCTTATATCTAGAAGTTACTGACTAAAAGATATTTTCTGCTTTTGATTTTTTTTGTATCCCTCTGCAGACCCCTTTGCTGATGCAACTAAGGGTGACGACTTACTCCCGGCAGGGACTGAGGATTACATCCATATAAGAATCCAGCAACGGAACGGCAGGAAGACACTGACCACTGTTCAGGGCATCGCAGATGATTATGACAAAAAGAAACTTGTGAAAGCTTTCAAAAAGGTAAAGGCGTTAGAAGAAATTAATATAGGGTTATTGATGTACATGTCTGAATTGGATTGTGGTTCACACCTTTACTTGACTATATCGGTGTGGGTGAAAGTGATTGGATCCCAGAAAGGTGTGTTTATTCTCTTAATTAACACCCAGATATTTCCAGATATTTCCGTCTGGTCTCCCATCTTAAAATAAGGTGTACGTGACTTACAAACAAAATGTGAAATAATTTAGTTCTTGGGTATTCCAAGTAAAATCGTTTCCTTTATGTGACCTGCCATTTCATTTTTAAATTAACTTGGAACTATTAGAGATTACAGGAGACAACCTGTTTCTTAAGCATAATCAAGCTTGCTGAAATAGTTAATTTTCATCTTCTGGTGAAAATAAAACCTCATCGTTTTTGACTCTGTTATGTTGACTATTTATGTACTTCTCCAGAAATTTGCCTGTAATGGTACTGTGATTGAACATCCTGAATACGGAGAGGTTATTCAGCTTCAAGGTGACCAAAGAAAAAACATTTGCCAATTTCTGTTGGAGGTAAGTGACCGGGTGCTCTATGTACAGCCTGGAGTTTGCTGCTAAAGCTGTATTTAAGGGCAACGTGAAGTATTTCCCACTTAGGAGAAGAGCATGTGAACGAAGTAAATTAACTGAGTGAAATACAGAGTTGGTACTTCCTTCGAAGATAGTAGGACCTTTATTGGGTTTATTTTGTCATTTGAATGACTCGAGTGATCATGCCTGTATCTGCACAGGGTGTGTTTTGGTGTGTCAGATATTAAAATGTGTGTTGAATTGTTATTAACAGTTAATGCCACAAATAATAGTGTTGCTGTAAGTTTTTTAACAGTGACTCTTTTTAATGGCTAGAGACTCCTTGTTTTCTGAAGGGTGAATTTATGTATCAGAGTGGTTCTGCTAAATTAAGTTTTATTTTGCAGGTTGGCATTGTCAAGGAGGAACAGCTTAAGGTTCATGGATTCTAAAATGAACCTAGATACGTGGAGAATTTCTTGAATAATTTTGTTCTCTAAATCCAGTTTGGCTGCCTTGTGAAATGATTCTCTGCAGTAAACGGACTTTTCATTTATTTAATCATTCAGATTTCCATTTACATCTGCATGACTACAGAAAACATGGGGTATGTAGGCTAGTAACACATAAGAAAATTGCAGTAAGATGGTAATGAAACCCCGTATTCATCTTAACATGTTTCCAATGGAAAATATTTTGTTTTGAGTGTTTATTTGTTTATTGTTCAGTTTATTACTTTTCACTTGATTAAATGTTTTTTTGTTGTATTAAACCATGTATGTTGCAGCTTAACAATAAAAATATGAATTCTTTTGTGAGCAGTTAGGCTCCCAAATTTAAGCAAGTAAGATACCCATACATTTTGTCTTTCATAATTGGAGTTCTCATTCTGAAAGTATTCTAATTAGATTCAGCTGCTGTTAAACCCAAAGCTAGAAGAGAACCTTTGTTAAAAGTAGCTTGTGTTCTTCATTTACTGACTTAAAATAAGAATAGAATCGCGTATAAACTCAGCTAGAGCCAAGAATCTGTCACAGTGTTAAATTTTAAAAAATAATGTGAAGTATAATTTAAACTTAAGTATTAGCACATAGAATTATTTTCTGTGTCTTTATTGGTTATGTCACTGGGCTGCCAAAATAAGTCTATCCCTAAGTGCCAGATAATGTAATAGACTTTCAACATAAATAAATTTAGTCACAGGCACTGCTTTGCAAGTGTGGGTGACGATGCCACCCTACAGCTGGAAGATACTGGGGTTCAAGTTAACTTCCCTTGAGTGCTAGAAAGTGACAGTTGGGATGCCAGCCCAGGGCTTCCAGCCAGAAAAGCCATGTTCTTTCACTACATCCTGGTGTCAGTGTGTGTTTCACCGAAGGAAGTGAGAGCCGCGGGTGGTGGTGCATAGCGGCTGGGTGTTGTGTGAGAAAGAGGATTTGCAGTTCTTAGCTCTGAGATCTTTGCAGCGCATCTTTTTGAGTTCCAAACTCACGCTTTTTATTGAGCAGTAATCAAGATGTGTCATTAAAGCCATTTAGCCAAGATGAAGAAATGCATCCACAAGTGCATACTTTTCAGCCGCTGCAGCGGCACGATGGCAGTGTGACAGCGTCTCGCTGTGCACCAGTGCAGTCTGTACCAGCTGAGCCCGGGCCCCTATTCTGATAAAACTGCTTTTGGAAAAACAGACTCAGCCCCCACAGATTTACCTCTTAAAGACACTTAAGTAATCGGTTTTGTTACTTTCTTACCCCATCCTACCTCTAATCAAGAAAGACAGACAGACTTAAGTGACTATACCATAATAGAGTGTCAAATTTGGTAAGCTCATTTCTGGAAAAGCATAAATTTGACTAAGAAGATCAAGAAGTTTGGGAGAATTCTCCAACTTAACCGAGAAATCCTCGTTTTTCTACCTGTAACATTTTGTAATGATTCCACCTCTGGTTGAGAGGTGCTGTGGAAATAGTTTATGAAAATGACAAAGCAGAGACTTAACGTTAATGTGTAAAGTGTTGCCTCTTTGTCTACTGAGGGCCAAGCTAATGCCCAGCAAAGAACTGTCTAAGATGAGGGTTGAACAAAGAAGATAGACAAGGGAAGCCTCAAAAATGGGAAGGAAAAGCCCCCTCACCTTGGCACCCGTAGCCGAGCAGTTGGTCATCGCTTCGTGTGTCAGGCCACTCCCATTGGATGGGATCTAAAGCTTTGAGCAAAGCTGGTTTTTGTGAGGAGCGCCTCCTGATCCTTCAGCCTGTGCATCCCAGACACATGGCTGGACTTGTCACCTGTAGGGCAGACCCCATCCTTACAGCAAGAACAGATCATGTACCCTTCTTTCTTGTCTTTGAACAATGCAATGGAAATAAAGGACGTAATTAAGAATATCTACGTATTTCTGCAGTTTTACTGAAACTAGTCCAAGGATAATGGGGAATATCACGCTGGTGTGGGAAAGCTGACTGGGAGCCTCAGGTACCTAAGAGCATGGGAGCAGGGCTTCAGGGGCACAAGTGACTAGGTGGCATTGTATAATGGAGGAGGGAAAACGGACTTACAAATGCAGCAAAAGTAGCCAAACTGGGTATCTCCTTGGGCCTCCCAAGTGGGGAGATTATGATGTGTAGTTTCTTTAGTAATCTGTACTTTCAGGGCACAAAATGTAAAATAGGGAGTTGAGGACAAGAAAGTGACTTGTTCCTGATGTTCAGGGCTTGACAGAAGTCTTGGCAAAGTCGTTAGGGAATTGATGTTTGGTTGAGGAACGGCCTGGTGTAAAGCAGCATTAGCAAGGATGCCCTCTGCTCATCATCCTGGCCCCTGAGGTAGGAAAGCCTGGAAGGAAGCCTGTTTTATCTCCTTAGGAAGAACTCAAGTAATGGCTGCCATCAACCACCTTAGAAACGGGGCAGCTCTGATCATGAAGAAGGAATAGTTCTAGTCCCAATCAAGATAGCAGCTTAACCAAAATAATGAGTACAGAATGGTACCAGACTTCCGTCTGCCACCTGTCACCAGCTGGGCTCCAACTAAAGAAATGGGTAGTTAAGCTGAGGAAAAAATCAGCCTCGTTAGATGGTCCACACAGACCTGCTCCCTCGGGCCTATGCGTATTCCCCGTACCAAACCAGAATTCCATGTGGGAAGGAAGCGAGAGAGCATGGCTTTGCTGTAACTAAAACCAAGGGAACCTTCACTTCCTGTGGGCTGCAACCAGCTGCCTTCACTTGACAGGTGACAGCCAGGTGACCTTGTGCTTCTCTGGGGCGGAGGGGCCAAATCAATTAAGCAGGAGCAAAACCACGTCAGGGGCCTCTGTGTGACACTCCTTTCTTGTGGCTATGCGGACATTTAACTCCCTTTTTATCTAGATAATGGCAGCTTGGGAAAAGAAAGGTCAGAAATTGGAGGAACGGCTGTCCTTCTCTCCTGGGGCACCAAAGTGGAATCAGTGCTGGTTGAGAGGGGCATGCCCAACTGTCCAGCTGGTCCTAATCCAGGCCATATTGTATTAGGTGACATGTGGCCTGTGGAGATTCTCTGACCTATATGGAGAAGTTAAACAGTAATTTAAACTCAGCGTTGGCAGTGAGGGGCCAGTGGGTCAGGTGGCTCACCTGTCGGCTCATCGGCCTTGAACTGGCAGGAAGAGCCAGCAGTAGGTCTGCCACGGTCTGTAGCTGTTTTCCCAGTGAACTGCAGGCGTGATCTGAATCGTGGCAGTGCCGTCATCTCAAACTGGTGAACAATATCCAGACTTTTCTTCTTGCAAAAAGTAATTACATAGAGAGAGGCACCGTTCGTTCAAGGCACAAAAGGAGACTAAAGTTCAAAGCCAAAAATCTGTAGGAAATCTAAGTGATCTTAGTCTCTAAACTGGGCTTCAGCTACAGCCCTGTGCTCTAGCCTGCATGGTTTTGAAGAGCCTCTGGGCCTACAGAAGGGTGCAGAAGACTGGCTGTCATCCCCCAGGTTCGCCTCCATGTGTCCTTCACTCGTTCTTATGAGGACCCCAGGCTCCACCTTCTCGATCGATCCACTGGGCTGGGAACAACGTACGGTGTGGAGAGCAGAGAAAATCAGACAGTACTTTAGTCCATGTCAACCACGGCAAATTTGGTGAGAGAGACATCACCAAGAATTTGGAGAGATGTAATTA